GCGGCTGCATTCTGGACAAGCTGAAGTCGCCACAAGCGACTTCAGCTTGGCTATAGCGTCAGGCTATACAAGCTGCCTATTGGTCATATACTGTGAAGACTCACAGTAATGTTCAACTGAAAAATGATTTACATTAGGACAAAAAGCTGAATTTCCACCTCAAACTGCAATATTTTTCATTAAAGTTTGCTAAAACCTATATCACCTCAAAGTATGCAGAAATAGATTGATATATATTAACGGATGCAAGAATATTATATGCTTTTTTCCCCCCTCAAAGGTTTTTTTAATCCTTTAATTGGAAGAATGGCTCACTAAGTTATGAGTGTATGTTTCATTGTCTAGAATAGCATTGTACCTTAAAAATACGTATCACATATTCAGTTCAGGAATAGTGGAAATTATTCCAGGAGCATAATTTAATACATGAATTTGAACCACATTCAAAATGGGGTTTCTCTATGCTTAAAATTGACATTTTAATTTTATAGGATACTTAACATAGAACAGATTTTTAGTAATATGGGTTGAATTTATCATAGCTTTCAATTCTACTTGATTTTTTATTGTGCTCATCATGGCTCTTAATATTCATTCTTAGTTTGAAGCTTAACAGTGAAATGATGTAATTCTGATTATAATTGTGCAACAGAAGAGTCACAGAAGGAAAATAGTCTTCTTCCAAATGAAAATAAACTTATTCTCCAAAATCAGCTGGGACAGTCATTCTGGGAGAAAAAGAGCTGGAAGGTAGAGTTAAATGTGTCATCAGTTTAGAGTCACAGCATTGACCTAAATCCACCCCCCTCCCATTAATTCCATGGACCCTTATCTAATGACAACTTGGCTTGAATTGTTAGTTGACTAGATGTTTGCATTAGAGGTAGAAATAATAAACTCTTCCGTGCTTTGAACTCAAGAAATGTTCCAGGTTATTTGTGCCTGACAATGATTCATCCCAAAAGGCCTATCATAGCCAGTATTTCAGGTGACTGATTGTTACTTGAGCTGCTTTAGAGGCATCTCAACATTCTGGATGTTAAAGCACGTTTAGAGTAGTGTTGAGCACCCACAACAAAACCTTTGAGGATTTGGACCGGATGGTTTCCAAATGTGAACAATCAGAATATTTATAACATTCGGCACCAAGTATTAGTACCTCTAGAACTGAAAACTTTAACTGCTGCTGGGAATGTATTTTATTTTATTTTATTATTTTATTTTATTTTATTTTATTATTTATTTTATTTTATTTTATTTTATTTTATTTTATATTTTATTTTATTTTATTTTATTTTATATTTTATTTTATTTTATTTTATTTTATTATTTTATTTTATTATTTTATT